GCTGTGGGCTTTCTGGGTTTTCTGCAACAGAAGAACTGCTCTAGGATTTTTCTGTCACCAAAAAAGGAGTGAAAACTAAGAGTGGCATTTTCCACGGGGAGCCCCGAGTCTAACGAGGTTGGCAACTGCTGGCCTAGACCAAGGGGCTGAGGTGCTAGGGCAGGCTGCAGGAGCAGATCTCAGGCAATGAACACTGAAAGGGCATTAAAAAACAAACAAACTGTGCCTTGAACATTTCCATGGCTGTCATTTGGGGCTTTGCCTGCCACACAGCTTGGCCTGCAATGCTGGCAAGGCAGGTTTGCTTTCTGTTCGCTGTTATTTTTGCTTTCTGGTTCATACCTGTGCTAGCTCTACATTGCTGTATTTGGGTACAGCAGAGAAAGCATCTGCCCCAGGAACAAACCAATCAATTGTGTTTTTCTGGAATCCCAAGGATTTCCTGAAAATCTTTCCATCAATTTTTGGTTTTCCAAAACTGCTTTGCAAAATTAAATCAAAATGTATGCCTAAGTTAAATCAACGGTGTCCCTTTAAATATTGAACAGCAGCTAAAAAAAGAGAGAGAGTCAGGCTAAAATAACAGGTATAAAAAAAAAGGAACTGATGATTCTGCATAAATCCCCATTATACGCTAGGACAGTTTTACTATTTAAAAGGCTGTTTAAAGGGGAAACCGCAGGAGTTACACATCTTCTATCACAAACTAGACCAGCCACATGGGAAGGGGTGAACGAGGAACTGGTCGTCCAGTGGGGCTTTCCAGTTTTGTGATTTTTCAAAAAGTCTGCCACATGCTGCAAGCTTTTTTCTGAAGAAATTTAAGAGCAATCTTTTGCATTTAAAGGCAATGCTTTCATGCTATCTGGAATCACCTGGGGGAGCTGCTGTTCCCCGGGAAGGCCCACGAACGTCAGACCGAGGGATCAAACCAGTCACCTTGCTGACATGTGCACTGTTTGCACACACACACCCTGGACCTGACAATGAAACTCCCGCTGGCTTCAATGGTGGGGAATCCAGGCTTGAAACGGGCCTTATACAGATCTTGTACAGGCCTACATGCAAGAATGCCTCTCCTGACTTCTGGGAAACTGCTTCTCCCAGCAAAGCAAACAGGACTGGGTCCGCGTAAAACCGTTCTCTCCCTTCCACATGCACATCCCCCAAACACCCAACACCTCCTGTTGCTTCTGACAGCCAAAGCTTCAGCATTTCCTCCATTTCACACTGGGGGAGACTGGTGGTGGGCAGTGGGAAGGGACTGAGTCACTAAGATGTGGTCCAATTACGTTAATTTTCTGCTTCAGACTGTCCACAAACACATGTTTTAGCAAGTGGGAAGAGACAGATCATTGCAAACAAAGAACAAACTCACCCGTCTTCCTTGGGCATCTTAGCTGTGATGCTGTCCTAATAAAATACGCAGGCTGTGCATGCACACGGGTATTAAACACCACTCTTCTCACTCAGGTTGCCTGATTTTTGGAGCAGGGACCATCTTTTTTTTTTGTTATGGGTCTGTACGGAGCCTACTGCACACATCCTGGTCCATAGCAGGGGTTTCTAGCTGCTACCATCACACAAGCAGTGAATAAACACCATCATATTCCATGTCAGTGAGGCTGCATTTTACAGCCCCAACCCCAGCAATCTGGGGTATGGCAGCAGGGGAAAAAAGGACTTTGAAAGGATCTTGCAGGCAAAACCAGCTGTTTATCTTACTAATTTTCCCCTTCAGCCACACACCCATGATTAAGATGCTCAGGACTCCCGGCCTGCCAAGGTGCACTAAGCACTATTTTTAAAAACGCAGGTACGCTTTGCGCTGATGAGGCTGTAGGAAGCAATAAGCATTTGGCACCTGATGGCTGCCCAGAGCCAAGATGACAGGTCTGAAGAACGGGCCCAGCCAACGCATGAAGCAGATACCTCAGGGGACACGTGCCCATCAGGGAGTGAGTCCCTGTTTACGCTGGGCAAGAGCTGTCCCTGCTGCACCGGCTTCCACCACAGGTTTAAAACAATTTGGGTTCATCTGCTTGAAGCGGAGGCTGGTGCCTCCCGGTGAGCAAGACTCAAACCTGTCCCAGCTGTGGCCCTGAGCCTGCAGGCTGGACCCTAAAGGGGCTCCAGCTGCTGCAGGGCTGGGGTCACGCCCAGAGCCCTTTTACTGCTGCCTTGTGCAGGCATTTGGGGTCCGAGCCAAAACCCACTGAAGTCAATGGAAATGACTGGTTTGGATGCTACCCAGCTTGGGAGCTGTTTCCCTTTCAGCACTGCAAGGGGGGTTATTCAAGAAAAAGGGACAATTTACAGGCTTAGAGCTCATCCAGGCCATCAGATTCTGCTTTCCGAGCCTTTGGGACCGGTTCTTGGTGCTTTCAGACCGCCCAGCCGGTGCGGCGGGATAAATCTGCCACGGAAGATGCACAGGAGCCTTTTCCAAAGTGCTTGTTAATTCTGTGTCCTGCGTTTCGCTCCCGCTCCCCCAGGAACCCATTCCTCCGCTCTGGATCCAGGTGACACATTGGGAGCATCTATGATGAGTTCACTGCCATGTTACTGTGTCAATCGCATGCAACACGGCAGATCTACTTCACGCCTTGATGCTTCGCCTCAGCAGCCAGCCTCCATTTTAGCCCGGTAATGCATGTGGGGGCTTTTTCAAAGCCCTGGGGAATGGATTATGGCTCCAGTGCAGCAGGACACTTAAGCATGTGCTTACCCACAAGCATGTGGGGTTACTCACCTGCTTAAAGGGAAGCACATTCCTCCCTCGCTACTTGCTGGATGGAGCCCAGAAGAGGGGCACAAGTAGCCAGCCTGTCTTTTATGGCTCCGAAGGAAGAATATGGTTGATCTGCCCCTTTCCTTTATTGCAACCGGTTCACTGCAGGCACAGCCTTGACCCTCAGCACCCATACCGCAGGGGGGCAAGCGTTCTCACCCCATCCCCGGGGACCAAGCAAGCTCTTCCCCTTTGCTAACAAGGAACAGGAACAGCCTCTACCTCCCTGGCCTCCCTCTTGAGGCTGCAAACGGGGGCCCTTCCCAGAGCTTTTGCAATCAAGGGTCTTGGTGGAGGTCTCTGAGGAGAGGCCTGGAGTCTCCCAGAGAGCTGCCCGTGCCACCTTGCAGCCCTGGGCACAATGAGGCGAGGTAGGGCGGAGTGTGGGCCTAGCACCCGTGCACCTCCTGGCATCATCCGTGCGAGCCAGGCTCTTTGCACGGCTTTCCACGCCGGCGCCCGTGGAACGTGGGGGGGGATCCGTGCCATCCGGGCAGCGTCATCAGCCGGCCGGGCAATAGCATCTCAGAGCAGGAGCAAACTATGATATCATCTGCCGTTCCCCAGGTGTTGGAGGGGGACAGGCAGGGCCGGATCACGCATTGCTTTGCGTGCACACATGCCCCCAGCCAAGGGGGGAAAAAATGCCTTGTGTCACCGATTCACCCCCCTGCCTCCACCCATCCAAATGAAGCCCTGCAAAATGCCCCGACGGGTGGGTGCAGCCAGGGCTCCAGCGGGGAG